GGCCAGCCATGGTGGCACACGCCAGCACTTGACAGGCTAAGGCAGGAGAATCATTAGGAGTTCAAGGCCAGCCTGAACTGTGTAGTGAGATTCTGTCTCAAAAACAAAAAACAAACAAAAAAACAAACAAAAAAAGAAGAGATTTCAGAACATTTTGTATTTCTGATTTTCAAATGAAGGGTAATCAACCTGCATGTATTTCTGTCTTGGCATGTGTTACATTTTTGCCCCTATAACTTCACTCCAATGTATTATATATTGGCTTGCAGTCACTGGGACAAAACAGACAACACTCACATCTAAAAAGGGAAGGTTATTTTAGCTCATGTATTCAGTTCATGGTCAGCAGCTGCAAGCTAGGACAGCACAGCAGAGGGTTCTGGTGGAAGAAAGGTGCTCACCTCATGGCTGCCAGGAAGCCAAGGAAGATGGCAGGAGCCAAGGACATAACTACACCTTTCCAGGTCTGCACCCAGTGACCTGCCTCTTGAGATTTTTGGGGGACGCTTCAGATCTAAGCCGTAACAATTACACTAACATACATCTGTCTATTCCAGCAATGGTTCTCAAGCCTTTGTACTACCTAGGACTCTCCTACAGGTGGTGAGAGTTCTGCCTGCTGAGTCACAGGCTAAGGGATTCTGGCTGCCTCAGCAGTCGGGGTGGGGTCAGGTGTCCAGTTTCTGTACATGCCCATCAGGTGGTCCTGCAGGAGGTCTGACCTCAGCTTTCTTAGAGCATCAGCACCAGATTCTAAGCACCTTGAATGTGTAGGAAACACAGCACAGGGGACAGGAAAGGAACAGAGCTTCTGGCTTACTGGAAACTATAACCATTCATCACTCACTTATAGTATGCAGCACGCAGTGACAGAGCACAGGAGGTGTGTATGGTGCCTCCCTTCAGGACAACACTACCTTCACAATACACTCTGGTGTCCACGGGACACAGCAATAGGTGCCACCATGCTTACATAGCAACTGTCACTGAAGTAGAGAGCAGAGATGGCTGTGGAGGCAATACTCATAATTGCAAGGCTTGACCTGAACACCTAAAATATCTTTCCCATCCAGAATTAATGTGGGTGTGTTTGGGGGCCCAAGGCTGGCTGGCAGACTAGGAGGGGTAGTGAGAAGGTGTGGACTACCCAGCTGATGGCTGTCAAGGGTGCCACTGCCAGTACTGCCTTTCACGGCTCAGGCACATAACCTTGTTCTGGGGACACCTCTTCCACCATGAGGTTGTGGTTTACAGCCACAGCCTAGGCAGCCCGTGGTGAGGGCCCACGTTGCTGAGCTCACAGTTCCTAGAGCTTGAACCACGGGATAAAGTCTGGTCTGGCAAGTGCTCATTCCTCCCACAGAATTTTTGCCTCAGTCTCCTGATTTAGCATCCCTTGGAAGGGACCACACGATGGTCCTAGTCCGAGGAACATAAGAGCAGGAAGCTGAGTCACCTACTCATGAAGATTTATTTCTTCTTCATGTTTGCACAAAAAACAAAAAAGGCCCTATATTTTAGGATTGACTACAAATTTCTGTCTTCAACACAAGGCACTCTTAGGGACTTGATAAGAAAAAAGAAAAAGGTCTCTTCTCCAGTGTCTTCACAGAAGGGCGATCTCCATTTGCCCTGTGTTTTTCTGTGGCTCAGCAGCAGGAGGGCTCCCACGCCACAGCTGGCAACACCTCCCTCTCCTCCTGCTGCGCTTCCCTCCCCGCCCCCAGCCCAGCATCATTCTGCACAGCCAGCTGCCCAGCAACAAGGATTACTTCCCTCTCTGGTGACATTTTGTTCATGAATGTCATCGAACTGCAGAGATTTTGTTTAATAATACGGGACGGAGAATATCATTTCCCCTATCTTCATCCCAAAGAGAAGGTGATATGCATTTAAGTAGCAGGATGTCTGATGTCAGGCCAAGAAGGGACTTGTGTTAAAGTCCCTTGGGGTGATGGCCAAGCAGGCCCAGAGCTGATCTGGAGGGGACAGCCACATTGTACATGAATGCTCTCTTCCCACCTGATGTACACTGTCCACAAAGCCAAAGGAAAATCTCCAGCACTTTCCTCTGGAGGGCAGCTGGTGCATGGCTTGGCAATACCCCACTATCAAATCCATGTGGATGTTAGATCTAACAGGCCTAGCTCTCGATAATTACCATTAGGAGAACAATGGAATCAAGAAAAGCTAGACTCTAAAATGTGGACACATGGTGTGTGTGTGTGTGTGTGTGTGTGTGTGTGTGTGTGTGTGTGTACGTGTGCATGTGCATGCATCCGTAAGGCCTGGAGGTGTTACAGGTTTTCTTCCCCATGTGTTTCTGTAAATTTCTAGAAATAGTTCTCAAAAAGTTAATTTAAAAATTTCATGTTAGCTAGTTAGGTCACTGTTTTGCTAAAGCCTTGTGAAAAGCCACAGAAAATGAATCTGTGGGGTAAGACACATGCCTCCCTGAGTCTGAACTTTCTTTGTCAAATGCAAACAATTATTCCTGGCAACTGCCAAGTCACAGACTTTGGATCATTACTTGTGCGGCTAGGCCAAGGGTCTCTAACCCCTGGGCTACTGATGAGTATCAGTCTGTTAGTAACCTGTGCTCTACCTCCAGGCAGATCCTCTGTGACATTAGATTCTCAGAGAAGCACAAACCCTACAGTGAATGGTTCACCTGAAGGATGTAGGCTGAATGTTTCTTATGACAACCTAATGCCTGATGCCAGATAGTAGAGCTGAGGCAATGAGGGTTGCCCTGGGGAATGTAATGATTATGTGTTATGTGCCACAAATGTGTGTGTGTGTGTGTGTGTGTGT